CCCCCCCCCAAATTAAGCTTAATCAAGCATGTATGTACTAGAGCTTTTCATAATTATTGTTTCGTAACTCCTAAGCCATGTCGAGTATTAACTATATATTACATTGTATATTCATAGTTGTTTTATTTAGATGAGTTCAACATGGATGGTATAATATTGAAATGAGTAGACTTAAATGTTAACAGTTTAACAAAAAATAAAAATAAAAATAAAAATATTTGTCTTGTCATTAACGGCCTAATTGCTGTTTTTTGACTTGAAAAATATTTTAGGCAAAATATATATGTGCTAAGTCAACTAATTCTTTGTCAAAAAGAGATAATCGTCTTGATTTTACAGATGACGGAATAAGTTATTCTCAATTATTCTTAAGCTATCAAGAAGTCGTAATTTATTGTTAGAATATAATACTCGAGTCGCTGTCATACGAGGACTTTCACAGAAAAAGAAAAAAAGAAGAAGCTTGTGAGTCACTAGTGGCATACGAGGACTTTCGAAAATAAAATTGAGCTCGTTTTTCAGGTGAGTTTGTTATTAAGTCCATTTTCGGTGGGATTAAAATTAATTTTTTAACAGATTTTCTTAAAAGTTGAAAAAATGTATAATTGAAAAGTTGTTAGTCTCATAAAACATGTGGTTACAAATAATTGTTGACTTTCATTAACAGTAGCTTAGTCAAATCTTCTAGCTCATGAGGGGCAAGTGCAACAAAGACTTGATATCCCCATTATTCCTAGTTTTGTGGTTTGTAACTTGTATTAGAAAAATGCTAAAATTTGTTTTTAAATATGTACTACGTTTTTTTTTTTTCCTAAATGTCATAATATTATATTATAGAGTTGATATCCAGATAATTTCTTAATATGACAATCTAAGATCATATATATATATATACACACACACGGAAAGACTTAAAATTGGAAGAAAACAAGTTACTTATAAATTTTAAAAGTAACTTTTAAAAATTTAAAACGAGTTTTTGGGAGAAAAATGAATTTTAATTTGACCCAACAAGCTAAATTCACCAATAAAAATTCAAATCTTGGAAAATTTGATTTCTTGCAATGATTAGAAGGTTCGGCAATGTGGCAAGCATGGTTTTTTCTTATAGTTGAAGTGGTTGAGCACTAGTTGTTGCGCCTTCATCGCACCCAATTTCAGTCAATGTGCTTTTCTTATTCCTACCTACCTATTGAAGAACTATTTTCTTCTATTTTGATTGAAAAAGTTGGAGGGTATGCAATTTCTTTATTTGGTTTATAACTAATATTCGAAATAAGACCTAATTGTACCTTGACTTATGCATCCTTTTGAATTTAAAAAACTAAGATGAATTATACAGAAAATACCTTCAGGAGAATCTTACCGAATGAGTTTCAAACCTATCCTCTTCGCTTCCCAAGATATTTAAGGAAAAGGGCTTTGTCGGCCACCGCTGTGTTACATTTTCAGCAAAATCTTTATAACCTACTCATCGAAGAGCTTATAGAGATCGCATGAAATTAATTAATGTTATTTTCAACATGTCTAATATTGTATACATCAATCGTGCTCTTAGCACTAAGATTAGCTTTCTCAAGACGTTAATAGATTTTATCGTATATTTTTCTTCTTTGATTTAATCTAATTGAGGGTACCACAAGTTTTGTTGGGTCCCTCACATGAGTTTCACATACCATTAAATGTGGTATTGAATCAATAGAATGGATTAATCACATTATGTTTTTTCTTTGTGTTTCCATATATTGTTGATAATAATTGAATTGATGTACAAGAAAAGTTGACTTTAATATCTTACTTGGGAAATATTTTCTCACTTAAGTTGCTTTGAAGTTCAAGTTCGATGTCGGAAATCAATTATTGAGCATCCCATGCCAGTCACTCGAACTTTAATGTACTTTCAAAATAAGGTCATCTCGTGAGATTGTTCGATGACTAAATATATACGTTTTTATTGTCGCCTTGCGCCAAATGGAAAGTACAATATTTTTCAATCCACTTAAAAAAAGTTTGATAATCTTTGTACACAAAATAAATATACATATCATTGGCAAGTTTAAACATTGTTAAAGAATAAAAATTAATGGGACAAAATATATTCTAGCTAAATAAAAACGTAACAAGAATAAATAAACTATCCGCTAATCATGCACGGTTTGCCAAATTCAAGACCAAATCCGACAACTTTTATCATTAGTTTTACAATTTTATCGATATAGACAAAGTGGAGAATTCATAAATTCACGATGTCTCCATACAATTCATTTATGATATGTTTGGTATAACAAAGACAATGAACATTGAAATAATTGATTAATGTAGATAAAAATTTAAGTGTTGCGTATCAAATACGCACTATGTTAACAAACAAAAGAAGAAGTTTTTTTTTTTATTTTTTTTAAATTTACAATGCCAGCCACAAAATTCTATTTGATAACAGCTAGATAACAACAGTCTATTTAAAATTTTCTCTTAATTAGTTTTGAACTAAAGTCTTCTCCTTAAATCTGACCCACAAATAATTTATTTTATTTCATTTGGCAAGCTCGAAGAGGACAAAACATTTTGTCCCAATATATGTGTGGCAAGAATCCTCGACATCTAGGTAAGTAAGTCAGAAAGTCATTTAAGGCACGAAATTTACAGCTTGTTTGGGAGCGATTACAGCCGTCATATTTGACTTCTTCTCTCATGGGTAGGCCCCATTTTTCTCCTAACGGTCAAAAAATCAATTCTCAAAATTACTCTCAAACAGGGCCTTAGATGAGGCTTAGAAATTTTTAAAAAATTCATGCCAATAGTTTTCCTAGTAAAAATTTTAGTAGATTTTTCTTTTGTAGCTAAAAATTTTAAAATCTTTTTTTGATAAGTTAGTTTATTGACAAAAATTCAAACGCTAAATAAGTAATTAAAATAAATTAAATTAAATTATTAACAAAGAAAAAAGTGGAAAATAAAAATAATGAACTGAAATTCTTTTCATTGGTAGAATAATTAAAAATTTAACGTATTACTTTTAGAAAATATTATTTATAGATAAATAACAATTAAAAATTATTTAAATTATGAACAAATTTTCATTTATTAATATTAAAATAGAATTTTTTAAAATTAAGTTTTAACTGTGGAAGTTTGTTATTAAATAAAATAACAACTATAAAATTAAGCATTAGTGAATAGATAGTTGTAATATGTTTTTTTTTTTTT